ACAGCAAGGACAATTTTAAAAAGGGAGGGAGAGAAGTAACGTGGCGTTGACTGGGAAGGAGCCACAGACAGTTCATAGCCAGCCCACAACAGAAAGGACATTTTTAATAAGGGAGGGAGGGAGAGAAGTAACGTGGCGTTGACTGGGAAGGAGCCACAGACAGTTCATAGCCAGCCCACAGGAAACATCCTGGCGCAGGTGGATTGAGCAATGTCCTTTGCGGTTCACGCGCCCTAGTCCAGCAGTGGAAGTGCCCCATTCACGTGCCCAGCCCTTCTCTGTACCCCACTCCGGTGCTGCAGTTGGTCAGGGCAGGCAAGAGCTCAGAGGTGTTCTGCAGAGCTCACCTCCCATCCTGAGGGGGGGTGGGAATAGGAGGCATCTCACCTACTCCACTGGCCACTCGCCGCTGCTCCTGCCAGATGCCCTGCCTGCTGGCCAGCTACGCGTTGCTGCCAGATGCCTTGCTGGCCACCTGCTACTGATGGGTTTGGATTAGGGATGTTAAATATTGGTTAATTGAATAGTTGAATAACATCATGAGTCCTTATCGGTTAGTTGACTATTCTGTAGTCCCTTGGGGTGGGGCTGGCAGCACCATGGGTTGCCAGGCGGGAGCTGGTCTGCGTGGGGAGCTAGTTTAAAAACAAGCTCTCCTTGTGGACTGGCTGCTTGTCTCCCTGTTCTGCTGCCTCTGATAAAGAAGCAGCAATGCGGAGTGTCAGCAGCAGCCCCTGTCTGGAGAGGAGGGTCTGAGCTCCTGGACCCAGAACAAACTGAAACTGAGCTGGGCTGCCTGCCTGCCCGGCTCCTAATACACTTTAAATGCAGAGCCACAGCAGGGGTAGGTTCTGGACCTGGCATGAGCCAGAACTGAGTCAGGCTGCTGGCCAGCCTGCTAAAAAAAATTACTGGGGGTGGTGGTGGTGGAAATGCAAGTTGTCTATAGCATTAACTGGTAAGATTTTGCTTATTGGTTAATCAACTACACTATTACATCCCTAATTTGGATTTGGGCCAAACTTAGTGATTTCAGCTCTCTGTGATTCCAGCTTTTCAGTGATTTCAGCTCTTGACCCACAACACAGGCCAGAAGAAAATAAAGAGACTCCATATCTGTTTTAGTTCTATTATTGGAAGGTGGAAGAGAGAAACAGGTTGAACCAGTCTTACAGCTCATGCCTGGAGGGGATGTAGTCTGCTGGTTCATTCATTTGAGTCTGGAAGGGAAAGGCTTATCCATCCAAGATTCTTTACAATGACCATCTCTCTTCTGCAAGCACTGGTTGTCATATTTTACAATTCCTACATTTGGGTTAACATTATCTGTGACCCCATAAGAGCCAAATTAGTTATATTAGGCAAAATACCATTCTAACAATTGACTATCAGGCTTATAGCACTGACTAAACTGTATTTACAGAAGCATACCCAGGATTTCTTTCCCATTCCAGCATGAACTGTATTTACACAACAACAGTTGAATACTGTACAGGGCTAAACAACTGAGTGAGCATAAATCACACCCAGGATTCCTTTTCCCTTCCAGCTGGCTGCATTGGAAGCATTGATTCAGACCCTGCTTACACATATATCACACCTGAAATCATTTTATTGGTGAGGGAGGGTTCACCCACGGACCAGCACTTTTGTTGTTGATCATGGAAAAAATGTTGACGTCCTCAGTCATAGCACGTGTGTGTCTCCCATATGTGTATGCAGGCGATGGAATGTAATTGTATGTTTTCCTCTTACAGGTTTGTAAAGAAGTTCTGCTAATAAAGATATAAGGGAAAAATGACATTCAGAAAAGGTACACATTTAAAACAAGCAGACAAAAAGCTTTTGTGCACTTTGCTTTTCCTTACCTGTGAGATTATCCTAATTATCTTTCTCTTCTCTATTTCAGTGAACATTGCCATCCTTGTACTTGCTGTTGTTATATTTTTATTAGTTCTGCATCATAACCTTCTGGGTCTCAGTGACTTTTTGAAACGAGATGTATCAGGTACAGGTGCCTTTTCTTTTATATTAATGAGTTTTCTTTGCACATTAGTAGCACAGTGCATACCGGATCAGAAACATACCTCTGCCTTGCTAAAATGGTTTCTGCCATGTAATAACAATAGACCTCTTTTGTAATGAAGTGTATTTTGAAGGTATGGTTTTCCTGTCTTTTTGTCTAAATTTTATTTCTGTACTCCATTAACAGTAGATTTTTACTGTTGAGTGTGTCTGCTGTAGACTTAACTGTAGAAGGGTCATGAGTATGCAAGTACAGATGGAGTCTTGCAGTTTGTGTTGTAGCCACATTTAGTGAAAAATGATATATCTAGCAAACCTACTGACCTGTCAGCCAGTTATAGATTTTAAGGCTAAAAGGAGCCATTATGACCATGAAGTCTGACACTCTGTCTAACAATGGGCATATAATTTTATCCTGAAATTCCTGCATGGCATCCAAAAATTAAAAAAAAAAATCCAATTGATATAAAGACTCTAGTTGATTGAGTTTAATTTATTACTAGATAATCTGCTCAGTTAATTAATTTAAAATACCAACATCCCTGTTCGTATCTGTACATCCATATTTGTATCCGGCATAAATACTTGTGGGTTCAGTTTAGGTCATTTTAGATGCCTAGCACTCATGTGAGACACTCATGTACTGTACTACCTAGTCAGCTGTAGAAGTAGATGACACCATAGCAGAATTTATATGTGGTTTCCTTGGTTTCTTTCTCAGAAGAATTAGAAAGAGAGTTGGAAGAGAAAGTGGTGTGGAAAGGAGGGAGAGTGTAGCTCATGTGTATCTAAAATCCCTACTCTGATACCCTGAGATTAAAGAATGAAGGACGGAATTTAATCTGAGTTCTGATGTTCATCTGTGTGTTCTGCCATGTTGACTCATTGGGGAGTTGAAACTTTTATGAGTGCGTAATACTATTATTGCAATTTTTATGCATTGTGATTAACATAGATGACAAATCCTTCAGTACCTACCTGTACAAACTTGTAATAGTTCTGGTTGAGGTCTCTAAGAAAGTACAAATGTAAATAATTGGAGGTGTTAAAATTTTCAGACACTAATAATTTGCTTGTTTGTAGAGCCAATAAATATATATACTTCCATTCTCTTGTCCTGCAGATTCAAGTTTGTTAGGACTCCAGCCTATAGATTTCATACCTGAGGTTCCTGAAAGGCTGACTGACGAAAGAAATGATCTGGAAATTCCTGTGGTTATTACAGCTTCAAATGACAGACTTGCGGGTGCAATTGCAGCCATGAACAGCATTTACCACAACACTAAATCCAACGTGGTGTTCCATATTGTCACTCTAAATGATACAGTGGACCATTTAAGGTAAATCGTGCTCATAATTGTTCATTGCAGTTGTGTCAGGCTGCTGGATTAAATTTCAGAAGAGGAAAACACCATCTGGTCCAACAATCCAGACCTCTGAAAACTGATTGCAATCCTACCTGTGTGTTTCATTATCAGATTTTGGGGATGTCTATAGTACAGCGTTGTTGGAAAAACTGCCGGTTTTCCGACAAAATCTGAGTTTTGTCCACACTGCAATAGCGTTATTCCGAAAGAAAATTGAAAGAACAGAGGGGTTTTTCCATCGCTGGTAATCCTCTCTTTCTATGAGGAAGAAGCCTTTTTCCGAAAGAGCTCTTTTGGAAAAAGGCATGTATGGACGGGAAAGAGGGAGTTCTTTCGAAAGAAGAGGAAAAAGCACAGGTGCTCTGGTGGTCACTCCATCCATAGTAATCACAGTTTAAATGTGAGATAGTATCAATTCAGTGTGGACGCTATCTTTCGAAAGCGTAGATCTCTTTTTCGATGTGCTTTTGTGTGTTGACGCTCTTTCAGAAGATCTCTTCTGAAAAAAGTTTCTTCTAAAAGAAGCCTGCAATCTAAACGTAGTCAGAGTAATTCTTTCTTTTTCAGAAAGCAACAGTAGATGGCTCTTGAAATTGTATATTCTGTTTGCTACAGTTGATCTCCCCATTAACGTTCCAAGTGTAGACTGCAGTTTGCATAGAATAGCTATGCTTTGCTTTGATTTCTGTTTTCCCAGTTTCCTAACTTTTAAAAAATGTATTACCACGAGTAAATGCTGAGGACCTGTCAAAAGCAGTGTGCTGAAAGAATCCAGAGTTTCCCAAGATGCAGGTTATGTTGTTCCTTACAGTGATGAGTATTCATTTAGAACCCAATTCTCTGAAGTCCTTAGTGCCCTTGTCTCCCATCAGTTTGAGGATGAGGCCTTTGGTCAATTTTTTTAATTTATTTGACTTTCAGCTGCACACAAAAAACTGCCATGGATGGTGGAACATGTAGTAAGAAATTGAAATTTGCAACATTAAAAAAAAGACGTTTGCTTCCATAAATGTGTTAAAGGAATGTTTTCCACTCTGTTGTGCACGCTTAAAGAAAATCAACTTTAAGTTAAACACGAGACAGAGAAAATAATGATATTTTTGATAGAATAAAAATTCCTTCACAAAAGCATGAGTCCTGGCAATGAAGTTTCCTAATTTTTAGATTGGTGTTTGATACTCTTCTACCCTCTGTATCTTCTCTTTTCAGTTAAATGGGAGGTCAAAATAAACACAGATATTTTGAGTAATGCTTTTTGTAATGGGAGCATGAGTTTCTGAGGCTAAATACTGTAACAACATGAGAAATAAACCTCAGAATGTTCCATTAGCTGGCATCTGTGGTCACTATTCAGTAGTGAGCTTTTTGTAGGCAGACCTCTGTGTCCATACAGCATTGTTCTAACATCAAACATAGAATATATTACATGTACATTAATTTTATAGGTTGAGGAAACAACCAAGGTAAAGTAACCAGACCAACTGTTATTTGTGACATTATCATTTGGATAACTTCCTCTTTATTTTTGGTTTAATTTGATTGATATCATACCCATTTCAATATGCTTGTTCTTTTTTGTAACTGTGTGACTTTTCTTCCCTGGGCAGGGCATGGCTGAGTAAAACTGCTCTGAAAAAAGTAAAATACCGAATTTTGGATTTTGACCCTCATGTTTTGGAAGGGAAAGTGAAAGAGGAAACTGAACAGACAGAGTCCATAAAACCAGTGAGTTCTGGTTCTGATTAGTTTTTATAAACATAAATCCATAATAACATATGTCAATAATTGATATGGACGGATGTACTAGGTATATCTCAACAGAGATGTGATTTATAGCTAGCGGTATATAGGTTTGTGGTTTTTAATCAGTATTTTCATAGATGTAAAAGTTTGCTTCTTATCCAAACTTAATTGTATTAGGAATGTAACAGTCATAGAACCATAGAGCTGGAAGAGACCTCAGAAGGTCATCAAGTCCAGTCCCCTGCCCTAGGCAGGACCAATTCCAACTAAATCAACCCAGCCAGGGCTTTGTCAAGCCAGGACTTAAAAATCTCTAGGGATGGAGACTCCACTACATTCCAGTGCTTCACCACTCTCCTAGTGAAATAGTTTTTCCTAATATCCAACCTGCACCTCTCCCATCGCAACTTGGGACCATTGTTCCTTGTTCTGCCATCTGTCACTACTGAGAACAGCTTTTCTCCAGCATCTTTGGAACCTCCCTTCAGGAAGATGAAGGCTGCTATCAAATCCCCCTTCACTCTTCGCTTCTGCAGACTAAACAGACCCAGCTCCCTCAGCCTTTCCTCGTAGGTCATATGCTCCAGCCCCCTAATCATTTTCGTTGCCCTCTGCTGGACCCTCTCCAGTGCATCCACATCTTTTTTGTAGTGGTGGCCCAGAACTGGACACAATACTCCAGATGTGGCCTCACCAGAGCCGAATAAAGAGGAATAATCACATCTCTGGATCTGCTGACAATGCTCCTTCTAATGCAGCCTAATATGCCATTAGTTTTCTTGGCTACAATGGCACACTGTTGACTCATATCCAGATTCTCATCCTCGGTAATCCCCAGGTCCTTTTCTGCAGAACTACTACTTAGCTGGTTGGTCCCCAGCCTGTAACAATGCTTGGGATTCTTCCGTCCCAAGTGCAGGACTCTGCACTTGTCCTTGTTGAACCGCATCAGATTTCTTGTGGCCCAATCCTCCAATTTGTCTAAGTCACTCTGGACCCTATCTCTGCCCTCAAGTGTCCCTGCCTCTCCCCTAGCTTAAGTGTCATCTGCAAACAATCCATCCCCTCATCCAGGTCATTAATAAAGATATTGAACAAAACCAGTCCTAGAACTGGACCTTGGGACATTCCGCTAGAAACCAACCGCCATCCTGACATCGAGCCGTTGATCATTACCCGCTGGGCCCGACCTTCTAGCCAGCTTTCTATCCATCTTACCATCCATGTATCCAATCCACATTCCCTTAACTTGCTGGCAAGAATATTGTGGGAGACCGTATCAAAAGCCTTGCTAAAGTCAAGGTATATCACATCCACTGACTTTCCCACATCTACAGAGCCATTTACCTCATCATAGAAGCTAATCAGATTGGTCAGGCACGACTTGCCCTTTGTGATTCCATACTGACTATTCTTGATCACTTTCCCCTCTTCCAAGTGCCTCAAAATGGATTCCTTAAGGATCCCTTCCATGATTTTTCCAGGGACCGAGGTAAGACTGACCGGCCTATAGTTCCCTGGATCATCCTTCTTCCCTTTTTTCCTTTTTCCAATCATCCGGGATCTCTTCTGATCTCCACAACTTTTCAAAGATAATGGCCAAAGACTCCTGAACTACATTTGCCAACTCTCTCACCCTCGGATGCATTAAGTCCGCACCCTTAGATTTGTGTACATTTAGCTTTTCTAAATAGTTCCTAACCTGTTCTTTACCCACCACGGGCTGACCATCTTCATCCCATCACTTAGCACATTAGTCTGGGAGCTGACCTTGTCCGTGAAGACAGAGGCAAAGAAAGCACTGAGTACTTCAGCTTTCCGCACATCATCTGTCACTAGGTTACCTCCTTCATCCAGTAGAGGTCCCTACTGGATGAGCCAATTAAATGGTTAAACGATAGGCATGAGCTTATTGATTACCATAATGGTTACATGCTGGTTCCCTGCCCAGTCCTGGGGAACCACCTGCCACCCCACGCTGCTGGTATTGTATTGGAGCCTGCGGCATGGGACAGCAGCCAGCCTTCTTGGAGCAGTGGCCAGAAGTGGGGCCAGGAGCAAGTTTAAAAGCTGGCTCCCAGGGAGCTGGCTGCCACCTTGCACTGCAGGCTCTGTAGCATAAAGCAGAGCCCGCAACACAGCCAGTTTCCCAGGAGTAGGGCCAGCAGCTGGGAACCGGCTTCTGGCATGTATTGGCTGCTAGCCCTGTAGGCTCTACAGTATAAGTTTTACACTGCAGAGCCCACTGTGTGCAACCGCTAAGATTTTCAGCAGTTATACAGTTACCTGATTAACTGCTTTTTAACATCCCTAAATTGTATATTCATTTTAAACAATAGTGAGGCAGGCACAACCTAGCCAATAAAGATTAACAGTAGATAGTGACATTTCTGTACTAAACCAAAGTCCCAGCAGGAAATGCTCTCTCTGTTCATATTCTGATTTGGGTAGTTACATTTTGGTTCCATAAAATTCACTGCATTTTCATTAGAATTAGGAGTCATTTCCTTCCTGTCCTAAACTTTTGCAAAATGCTGGAGTGCTCTGGAATTGTAGGAACCCAAATGAAAGGTACATTTGATTAGTGAGAAACAGGATTCCTTAATAGAGTGGGATCTATTAGGATAACAAGTATTCTATAAATGTCCATTGATTATTAACCCATCACATCTAGACGTGATTATTATGAGTGAGTTCTTCAGTCATAGCTGGTTATTCAAAAAAATACAATGTTGCAACTTAATTTTTCCTATTATAAGCTAAAAATATTTTAAACAGATCCTGTAGGCCCCAGTTCTGAAATGTGATTGTCTAGCACTGACCCTGTCTTTGTGTGGCGTTCTACTGACTTAGTGCAATTCTGTGGACACTCAAGCTAGTGAACTGCATCATAGGAGCAGGGCCATATGGAACACTTTATATTTCCAAAGTGTTGTATGAACATTTAGGCTGAGATACTCAAAGGGGCCTAAAGACCTGCTGCATAGTGGTATTTAGGCTTCTAAATCAATGGAAGTTAGGACCTTTAAGGCCTCTGAGGATCTGGATTGAAATGACTTTGTTCCACTGATTTTCAGTGGAGCTTGTGCTCTCAAATAATTTAGGCGTTTTTGAAAATTCTGCCCTTAACTATTTTTTCAAAAAGTGAAAGAACCAAAAAATCTCCCACCCTTGATCGTTATTATTCTTGTGTTGCATATGTTGTTATGGGTGCTGACATTTCTGGAAAATTAGTGCCCAGGACATCAGTTAAAGTTCCCCATTCTTTGTCACTTTCCCATCTCTCTTGCTTGCTTGTGTTCACAGTTAACCTTTGCAAGGTTCTACTTGCCTATGTTGGTTCCTCATGCAGAGAAGACCATATACCTGGATGATGATGTAATAGTGCAAGGTATTGAATATTTTCTTCCATTCTACCAGAGTAGTTCCTATTCACTTAGGATCTACTTTAGTATCCTGTCTCTGACATTAATCAAATGATTCTGTCTCATGTAAGGATTAAGTGTGTTAGCTATCAGATAACAGAGTAATCGACTGTTCTATAATCCCTGGGGGTGGGGCTGGCAGCAAGTGTGCTCTGGCCCCACTCCTGGGGAGCCCCCGCCATTGATACAAAGGCAGCAGCGTAGGGTGGCAACAGCCTGTGTCTGTGGGGAGTCCGAGCTTCCAGGGGACAGGGAGTAGTGCTGGAGCAGCCTCTGTCCATGGCGAGCCTGGGCCCCCTGTGGACAGGGGCTGCTGCCAGGGACCAGCCTTTGTCCACAGCGGGTGAAAGCTAGGAACCCCATGTGGACAGGGGCTGGGGGGGGCGGGCGGGCGAAGACTGCTTCGCGGTCACCTCACCGGCTTCTCCCCTGAGACAGCAGCGATGGAGAGGGGGAAAGACAGGTGGCACTGCAGAGCCGGTGCTGGGGGGAACCAGCTTTTAAGCCAGCACTCCCCAGCACCGGCTCCTGCTTCTCCCCCTTGCTACCTCTAATACAGAGGCAGCAAAGCGGGGGGGAATGTGAGTAGTTGAGAAGATTAACTGATACGCCTACGCTTATCACTTTATCGTCCTCTTGACTACTCGTTCACATCCCTGGTAAGGATACAAAAAGCCTGTCAATGCACCTAATGTATGCATGGCATCCCGGCTTTCTCAGTTTTTGTTCTGGTGAAGCATAAAGATTGATGGTTCTTACATTTGTATTCTGTCTAGTTTAACCAAATTGTTAAGATACTGTTGCTATTGTAATTTTAGCATCTAAACTATATTTTATGTAAGCAAAATAAAACTCTTGATTTTTTTCCTTAACACCTTTTCTTTGATAGTATTAATGTTAAGCTATCTATTTACATCTACAAAAAGTATTTTATTACAAAAATAAAAATGTAAGCTC